AAGCAAATGAACAGATAACCTTATTTTTTAACCTTTATTATAATTATATATTATATTATAATATAATAACCTTTATTATTATCTTAAAATTAACATGTTACTTTTGTCACTTTTATTGTTATTTTTAAAAGGACAAAGGTTTTGAATAGGTAAGAGAAGAATAATATTTCCTTAATTACTTTTATTTTGTAAATAATCCCTTCAAAAGTGAAGACCAACCACTGTTGTACAGAATATTTTTTCCGTCCCACCTTCCCAAAGAACCTCTAAAACTCCTACTTACACCATTTAGCTGGCATTTCAAACAGAAGGAAAAAAAAAAGTTGCTTTTTTTGCTACACAACTTGCTATATTTGTGGGGGTTTTGTTTGTTTGCATTTGGTTGATTTATCTTTATCAAAAATCCTTTCCAACTTAACAAACAGCCCACGAGAAGAGTTGCCCGTCCTTCCAGAATGGCAGAGTGTCCGCAGCCAGCCTTATTTTTGATATCCTCCTTTCTTTAGAAAGCCTCCCCCTCCTTGCAGATTACACTGAGCCTTTCCCCTTCTTATACTCGTGGCCTACATTCCAGGAGATCAGGCTTGGCACATGTTAATGAATGTAGGTTTTATTTAGAAACATGACCACTTGTCACTGCGCAGTGTCATATTATCAGGCAGAGACCTCGCAACATTTGTTTAGAGTGAACATTTTCATACTTCCATACGCAGACAAGGGGAAAGTTTCATCCCCACGCAGGATTTAGCTTTTTGCTCTGCAGACCTAACTTTTGCAAGTTGGAAGCTTCATGGTGGTGGCAGATCTGTGTGCCCCGAGGATGGCAGAGGACGGCTGTGTGGACGCAAACCTTCCGGAATGTAACTGCGATGTCACAAGGCAGGCATCTCCTTGAGGTTCTTCCATTGTGCATAGCTGTCATGTTACGTGGGCTTCGTGGGATAGATGCTGGATCTTTAATCCGTGATAGCTTTGGCCAGCGTGAAGTGGAGATGGTTTGGTGCTGGGAGCTCGTTGGCCATGGACTCCCAAGAGTTCTTTGTTGGTTTGTTTTCTTGTCCCCCCTACTGGGCATGCGGAGCTGGAGGGGAAGGTTAATGGACTTGGTTATGGCTTGGTATTCCAGTTGTCTCTGGACTGTATGCGTCATGTCCGGGGAATGCTACCTTAGCCTGAGACACAGGAAAGAGACCCAGTGAGAAGACCCAGTTGGTCCATCATCTGCTATTTAAAGGATGTAGCTCCTGATGAAACTGGAATTCAGCCTTAGCCAGTTTTCAGCTTTGTAGCGGGAAGCTCTCCCTTTATTAAATAAAAATCTGCTTGTAGTGCGGGGGCCTGGAGGGTTTTGTGTATGAGAAAGAGTTGTTTCTGTTCAGGTTTGTCAGGAAGTCACATGACTAGCATAAAGGTTTTAAAACATGTACAGAATGTAAAAATTTATGTCTAAAGTCGTAATTTTGTGCATTATACAAATGTTTATTTCACGATTTTTTTCAGTTATAACAACATTAGATTAGGAATTTTAACTTCATTTTTAAAAATATTATTCTTATACCATAACATTCCCCCCAGATAAACTCCTGCTGGTAAATAGGATTTCCTGATGGTACTTTTAGTCCTATTACATTTAGAATGTGACTTTTTTGTTTGTTTGTTTATAGATTTACTAAATTAGTTTGAAGGAAAGTAGTGATAAATATATACATGTAGTGTATATGTGTGTATATAAAGCTGTTCATGCAACTGGATTTAGTAGTGATTCCTTCTCAGGAAGGTGAAGTCCCAGGAGGCACCCTGGATGGTGAGAAGACCAGTTGGCTACAGGAACTTTCAGATGCACAAGATTTGCTAAACTTACCCAGACTTGTGACATCTGCAAACATCCATTTTGAATTACAATCCTGGATGCTACCAAAAAGAATGTTGCTCAAACTTCTTACAATGATAGATAAATGAAAATATTGTGACACTTCACACAAAGATTTCCTTTAAAGAAATAATGGGAAAAAGATGGGACATTGTTCTTAAAAAAAAAAAAAAAGGATGATCTATGTCCTGCAAATATCAAGTTTCATAAGTTCAAGGAAGCTGTTTGGGGCTTTTCTACCCATTTCCCTCATCTCACATCTGCTCCCCCTAATACACACACATAATGCATTTTGCTATTTGTACTCAAAAACATGTTTAAAAAAATGAGAAAGGAAAACCACTTAAATGTTCACCCCCATTGACTTTACAAAGATTTACTCACTCATTTGAAAGAGGAACTTGTCCCTAATGGACTATATGAACAAGCATTTCCATGTCACGATGCCCTTGACATATTACCCACTAACTGCTCTATTGGAACCCATTCAATATCATACAAGATTACTAATCTTGTAAATTATTTGACTAGTGTAGACAATATCCAGTGGAGGAGTGTTCACACACATTCTTTTGTGCCTTAGCTCTTTTGGTCATTTTTGTACGTGAAATCTGAACCAAGAACATGAATAAATTTTAGTACTTGACAGACCATTTGCAAATGTTGGTGTAAGGGAAAAAGTTAAGTGTACATTTAATATCAACTAAATTACGAATAAAATATGCTAGCTAAATAAAGGTATTTTACTTAGAATACTAATTATTTGTGTTTATCTGGCATTTAAGTAGTGCCGAACTTTGTGCCAAGTGCTGAGGGTAGCATTGCGGGGGAAGGCGAAAACCAAAAGCAGAAATTCACAGTTCTAGTTTCCCAAGGAATTTAACATGGGAAGAGGAACTTGTGCATAAATAATACCAGGGAGTTAAAATAAGGGAAAGCAGGAAGCAAGCTGAATGAAGTGTTCTTCCAACCTCTAGCTCTGCACCAAACCCTGATGATATTATGAGCTTGCTATAAAACCCCATCCCAGAGCACTGTCAGATTCTACCAGATCCGAAGACAGGAAGCTGGTCAAGTGGGAGAGGTTCCCAAAAGGACTTTCTTACAGAGGTAAAACCAGGACAGACGTCTCAGTGCAATGAGCCACTCTGTAGTCCTATTCCCATGTGTTTATTGACTGGGGACTGTCCTTTCAGCCTGGGCCACTAAAGCAGGATGGCCAGGGCCACATCGAATTCTAAGCCCATGGCGTGGTCATTGATAAAATGTGCACCCAGGGCTTTGCACCCAGTAGCTGTTCTAAAACTGCTATTCACTGACCGACGCTCAAGTGAATTTTGTTTTATTTATGAGAAAAATGTGAGTAGGTTGTATTTAAGTGTTCTTGGAATTACTGTTCAAGGCCAGTGCCTTGAACTGCCCTGGGGGCAGGGTACAACTTGTACTTACAAAGCTAATTAGAGAAGTCTCACCTTGAATGGAATTATGAGTCATGATAAAGAGCGACACGTTTTCGGTTTCCTATTAATAGAATATGTTGTGGAGTATGAACATAATTTTTTTAAACACAGATTTTTTTGTGTGTGTGTCAAAACAGCGTAAGTTAGTGCATCTAAGAGTGTCTTTACAAACAGAAAATGTTATTCAAACGTCGGTATTCTTATACCTGAATGGACTTCCACATGAGCCTCCCTTCAGACTTACTCACTCAGAATCAGACCTGATCTTATCATTCCTTGGCGGACACGTCTAGGCAGAGTTCCTATTTATCTTTGAACTGCACACAACGCCATTGTCGTGTCACTGCAGGACCTGTGTAATCCCACTCCAGTCTGTCCATCCCGTTTGCCTCAGCACAACTGCAGCCCTCTTCTGCTTCCCTTCCCCACCCTCCGCACCCCCATCCCCCCTGACATTACCACGTCATGCCTTCAAATCTGCTTCTCTTCCCTACGTTTCCTAGGCTAGAAATATTTAGCTTGGCTTGTATCTACCTTTCAAGATGCAGCTCTAATGTTACTTCTTCATTTCCCCACTTTCAGCAGAGCCAAAGCTGCTCAGTGACAGGGTCAGTCATCGCTGTATTTCTGTTTCCTAGCACCATGCCTACTTAGGATCACAGAAGTTTGTAGAAGGAATACAGACATGAGCAAATGGGGAATGAATGAGTGACTGATTACTGAAGTGGCCAGACAGAATTGATCACTCCTTATTTACTAGCCAGGGACTTGGCCCATTTCTTTAGTGTAGTTCTTACCACCCTGTGTTACACATTTCATTGTGTACATGTCCAGAGTTCCAGTCTGACTGTACATTTCATCAGGAAAATAATCAAGTTTTATTTATTTTTTCTTCTCAGCATCTGACATATAGGATGTCCCCACATGATTGTTAGACGAGTGGCAATCTTAACCAATTTGGTTTTTACTCCTTCCTGGAAAGAATGGGAAAACATTTTTTTTAACAACGTGCTGTGTAACAAATACGGCACCAAACTAGGCTTTGCAGCTGATGACTGGTTGGAGGCCAGCCTTGCATCTGCCTCTGCCACTGGCGGCCCAGTGGACCCTCAGTCACCTTTAACGTGATCTGGCATGAAAGCGCAAATCATCACTCACTGATAGTTCATCTCAAGTGTGCTTTCTTCTATTAACTGTGTTTCTGCCACAAGGGTCTGAAATTGACCCCGTCTGGGCTGGAGTAATCAGAACTACAAATTCATAATCTGGTGACAAGCCATTAGAAATATTCCTTTTTTCCTCTTAGGCATTCTTCATATGAGTATAAATTACATAATGGGTGGAAATAACAATCTTTATGACGTCATGAGGCTTCTGTCACTGTTAGGTAATTGTCGCCATGTTGAACATCATCACAGCTGACACTTATTGAATGTGTTCTGTGGACCCTGCATTATTCAACCCATTCAAATCCCACAGATACTTCTCCTCTACTTTTATATTATAGATGAGGCAACAGAGACACAGGAAGGGTGTACAGTTTCCCAAAATCACCCAGCCGCTAAGTGGCTGAGCTAGGCTGGACTTCGACTCTAGGCAACTTGGCTTTAAACCCAGTGTTCACTTCGCCCACAAGGGAAACTCGAGTAAAGTCTCTCCTCTGCCCATAGGGTGAAGAAGCTGAAGGAGACCCTGGTGGCAGTGCAGCAGCTAGACAAGAACATGAGCAGCCTGAGGACATGGTTGGCTCACATCGAGTCAGAGCTGGCCAAGCCCATAGTCTACGATTCCTGTGACTCGGATGAAATACAGAAGAAGCTCACTGAGCAGCAGGTAAAACTCAGAACGACTAGAGGAACCAAGTAGGCTCTTGAACCTCTGTGCTCCTGGCCAGGATACAGAGGCAGATGTGAGATGGTGAATCGAAATGGAAAATTAGGAGGAAGCTAGACAGGATTGCTGAGAAAGGGAAGGCTTGGGCAGGGCTGGTGTTTGGGGCAAATAGGTCCCATGTCACCAAGAAGTTGAGTCTAGAAGATAGATATGCTCTCATAGGTTTAATGTCGTTGGTCCACCAAGAAGACATCCTAAGCTCCCTGAGCCTCAGTGATGGGCCCAGAAGAGAGCTGGCGTTTTGTTGATTTCTTTGTGGGTCATGAGCCCACTACTACCTACACGGAGTAGAGCCTTTGTTTCCCTGCATATAGTGTTTGAAGAAAGATTACAGTATATTCTTAGAGTTTTTGCAGTCCAAAACAGTTTTGTTTTATAAGAAGTGTTACGTGATCTGCAGAGCACACACTGCAATTCTACCTTCGTTTCTGTAGCAAAGACAGCACCTTACACTGGCATACAAAAAAAAAAAAAAAAAGGCAAAAAAGAGTGACCATGAAAAATGCATACAGCAAGGATTTTTTTTTATCTCCTATTCCCCTTCCTTATTTTTACTAAGCATATCAGACTCCAGTAGTTAGTGGTAAATACCACAAATGCCCCATAAGAAGTATTGCTATTCCATGCCCTTAGATTGTCCTTGAAAATTCTGCCCATACTCCAGTTACTTCCATTGCATTTAAGCCATGATAGCCAAGTTACTTAACTTAAAAATACTACAAAATATAAACAGACCTGTTTTATGAAATCTTAGGAAATAGTTTATGTACTTACTTTATTTTACGAACTACTTAAACCAATGCAAATAGATATTAAAATACAGTTATTAGATATTGGGATTATTTTAAGAGCATTTCTTCTTTAAAAAATTGTTAGCAGGACATTTTTCTGTTTTTGTAAGATTAAAGCACTGTGACGGATTCTCTCACGTTTGAAATTCTGATAATTGAGCTGTTGGGGTTATGGTCGGCCCCCAGCTCCCTGAATCCTCCTGGAGAACATGGTAATGGTGTCTACCAGTGACAAATGTTAAAAACAGTTAAAATCCTAATAGCCAGTATTGTAATTTAGCAAATGTTAGAGAATCAAATTAGTACCTAATTCAATAGGGTAAATTGATCCATGCATCTATAGCCTACCTACTTCTAAACCCCAGTAAAATGATAGGAAAGGGGGAAAGGTCAAAATTCACAATGGCAGAGACCAGGAAAGAAGACGTTAGAGATGACAGACATCCTTCACAAATTTGGAAGGCAGAAGTAGATAAATGAATAGTTACTTGTGTTTGCAGAATGGAGGATAGAAAGCTGACTCATGCCACAGAATTCCAAGGTGGCTCAGGGAGAAGAGAGCAAGTTGTTAGGGCCTCACAATGGAAGACTGCTTAAAAGTCTAAAGAAGTGGTTGGATTGGCAGATTCTCCCTAATACCAGCAAGCCAGACTACTCTGCCTCATCCACTCCAACAGAAGACCCAGGGTTTACACTCTGGAGGAAGCAAACCCAGAGGGACTTTGGTTGGGGGGCTATAGGGCACCATTGAGGCTGGAGCCACTATCTTAAAAATAGAGAGATTAAATGAAATGCTCTGTACCAGATAGTATGACTTCCACCCCACCACCCCAGCTCCCACCATGTCACTAGCCAGCATTATATCTCACCCAGGATTCGTGCAAGAGTTTTAAAATCCAGTTCAGTATTTCCATAAAAGTCCCCCACAAAAAAATAAAGAAAATAGGAAGAAATTATCAACGTAGTAATGTTAAAAAAAAAAAATCCCCAAACTTAAAGATGTGTAGAGTTGACCCTTGAACAATACAGGTTTGAACTGTGTGGGTCCATTTATTTGTGGATTTTTTTATGCAAGAAAATGTGAGTACTGTAGATTATTTTCCCTTCTTATGATTTTCTTTTCTCTAGCTTGCTTTATTTTAAGAACACAGTATATAATACATATAACCTACAAAATATTTGTTATTGGATTATGTATGTTTTTGGTAAGGCTTCTTCAGGTCAGCAGTTGGCTGTTAGTCATTTGGGGGGAGTCAGATGTTACATGCCAATATTCAACCGTGTGTTCATGGGTCAGTTGTACTTCCAGAGCACAAGTCCTACAAAGGCCCAGGAAAATTAAAAACAAAACACATCACTATAAAATTTCAGAACATGGGAGACAAAGATAAGATCTTGAAGGTTTCCAAGATGAAAAAGTCTGATTTTTCCAAAATAACGGTTGAAGCTAAAAGATAATGAGACAGTGCTTTTAAAAAGCTGAGAAGATTATTTAATTTAGGACGTTGTACCTGCCATTTACTATATAAAATACTTACCTCCTATGTATACATGCTAGTCAAAGGTAGATTGCATATACTAAAATGAGAAGAAAAATAATACTCAACATGAGAGAGACAAGAAAATTCCCAGGGTAGATGGTAAGGGAACGCCCAGATGCCAGCCGCCCCACAGCCTAGAGCATCCCTGTTCAGACTGGAGTAGGGAACTGGGTGCTGTGGGAGGGATGTCTCCAAGGAATAAGACAGTCAAACTTGATTACCTGATGGGCTTAACCATACTGGAAGGAGCTTTATTAGCTCCATAGAGAGAGGATAGAAGCTAGGGATATTCATGGTTTAAAGAGAGGGAGAAAGCTACTGATTCCATATAACACAGAAAGTTATATAAGAAGAGAAAAAAAAACCATAGCATAGTTTGCTGCTCAGATGTGAAAAATATTAAGGAACCGTATTAAATGACCAAAATCATCCAAACAATCATTATTGCTCCAGCTATAAGATGTGCTGAAACAGCAGCTGAAAACACTTAAGTCAGGAAAAAGTTCATTCCGTCTCTACTAGAGAAGCATACATAACGTCTAAGATTTAAAAATCAAGAACCAGCAACATAAACGTGCCACTTAGAAATACAGAAGTTAAAACCAGAAGACAGAGCAACAAGAGATGAAAATGAGAATCAGGAGGGAAAAGGGAACTACTTCACTGGAAGCTTAGCAATAATTTTTGACCTGTTAATATATTAATATATGTTCGTACTGCCTTTTAATTCAATTTTAAGTTAAAGTTGAAAACAAAACAAAACAAAAAAACCCAACAACAAACCAAAAGTAAGGACTCTTGGGGATAAATTTGCAATTCACCACTTTTCTGCATGACCTGAATAACAAACTGTTTTAACCCTCACATAGGATGCCTGGGTGGCTCAGTCGGTTAAGTGTCTGCCTTCGGCTCAGGTCATGATCCCAGGTCCTGGGATCAAGTCCCGCATCAGGCTCCCTGCTCCACAGGGAGTCCGCTTCTCCCTCTGCCTCGTCCCCCAGTCATGCTCTTAGTCTCTCTCCCTCTTGTGCTCACTCTCAAATAAATAAAATCTTTTAAAAAAAAGAACTTTAAAAGAAACTTAAAAAAATTTTAAAAACCCTTCATGTATATAGAATGCTGATGCTCACAGTGTTATAAAAATTAATGTGAAAAACACTTAGCACAGCACCCAGCACAAAGTGGGTGCTTAGTAAATTTTATTTCAATCCTGTCATATTCACCACAGCTTCCTTTGTGGCAAATGTTTAACCATGATTCTGTAAAAATTATAGCATTTAGAATCCATGTTGTAAAAGACAGATAAATATTAATCTGTCTCCAAAGGGGAAAATTCTCTTAAATATTTAAAAAGAGATTAAACTCATAAGAAATACATTTTCCTCTATTCCTCTCTGTGGAGTATCTATATGTTTCTCTTGCCAATGTACTTAATCTTCACATACTTCATTGAGCAGAAATATATGTAGACTTGAGATGGCTTCAGAGGACATCTTGTCAAATTTCTCTGTGTTATGGATGAAGAAGTATAAATTCAGAGACACTATGTGTCAATTCAGGACCCTTACTGATGGAGGTTAAAGCTGAGACTAAAATCTTTGTCTATAATAGAGCACTTACCCATAATTATAACCCCCTCAAGCTTATTTCATATAGTTGATTTTAACAAAAACTTTTGAGCAGATGTACAAGGGGTCTTTTCTTTGATATTTACTGTGGGAACCTGGTTGAGCTCCTGGAGGTAAATTTCACAAAATTGTGCAGCCCCCTCCAATAACTGGAGCCTCTGGAATTTTTAACTCAGTTGTCTACACTGAGCCTCCAGCAATCCATCAGTTAAAGTTCTGGTTTTCATACCCTGGCCCCAAATCTCCTCACTGGGGTAAATCCAAAAGTATGTGGAAGAAAGAATCACATCATCCAGATGGCCACATAGGTTATTTCTGACTTAAGTCCCTCTCCAAAAAAGACCAATGAGCAACTCTCTATAGGCAAAGCACCATTGTAAAACTCCCCCAACCAAAGGATAAGCATGGAGCACCAGTCTGGACCCCAGAGACCAGGAAGGACCACATTAAAAGGGTAAGAGGTATGGTCACATTGTGACCACATCATCCTTCCTGGCTGGCATAGAGCTGCACCAAGAGGGCACCACTTGGCCAAGATAGGTATCTAGCTCCCCCAGCTTCCCCATCCTTCCCAGGAGGCCCACTTGGCTCTCAACTCATAGGAACCACTAAGGGAACGTCTGTAGCTTGATTACTGGGGATCAAGTAGTGAGGGAGAAGGGGGCTGAGGCTCACTGCCACCAGGACTCACACCTTAGCAAATTGCATTCCCGTTTGCAGCTGGACCCAAGCAGAGATCCCAGCCTGCATCTGTGCCCATCAGCAGAGCCCAGCCAGTGGCCCTATCTGACCTGGGAGTTCACTTGGCAGTTCTGCTTGATTTTGGTCTCCAGACAATGGACCAAACTGACCTTGGAGCCCTTTCTACCATCTGACCTGGGCAGGGAAGCCAATTCCCAGCCCCGCCCAACAGCTGAGCATAGCCTTCATCCCTCCCCACCAGAAGCCTTGGCTAGAGAACCCAAGCAACCATGGAACCC